ACTTGACCATTTTACGGTCTGCGGCGTTTTTGCATTTTTTTCTCGTTTTCACCATATTTTTGTTTACGAATAGCGCAACTACTGTAATCAACGTCATGTTACATAGCTACAGCGTCAGTAGAGCCGGTAGGTTGTTGATATATTTCAATAATTTCTCCTGTTTCTGGATTATATTTCAGTTGTTGTTCAAGACTGATTGTATAGTCTTAGTATAAAGCAACCATTCAAAGATGACTATGTTCGCTGATGATATGGCGTTTTATTGCTATGAGAGCTGCCCAAATGACTTGTAATCAAAAGTGAATGCGGACTTGGCAGCGATTACATCCTGGGTGAATGTCAACAAGTTGACATTAACTGTTGCAAAGTCGACGTTCACGATCATTGGTAGTAACTCCAAGCTAAGTCACTTTAACGATATAGATCTTATGGCTAATAACAGTCAACTGGAGAAAGTAACAAAATTCAAGTACCTTGGTGTAACTATAAACCAGCACCTAACCTGGCATGATCATATTGATCAAATTGAAAGTCTCGGAAAGGCTGGGGATTTTACGGAGAATAGAACATCTGCTTCCTGCCTATGCCAGAAAAATTTATGTCACGACAATGGCCATCCCAATACTTGAATATGCCAGTATTGTTTGGGGCGATAAGAACAACAAAGTCCTAATGGATTCAATCCAAGTTCTCCAAAGTAGCGCTGCTAAATTGGTCCTGGATAGGTCGCCGTATTCGTCTTCATCCTAAGCACTTTCAGATCTAAACTGGATGAACCTGTCTGCCAGAAGGCAAATGCAGCGTTGCATCCATATGTATAATTTAGTCAATGACAACAGTAGAAATAACATCATTGTGCGAGGACAAGACTATCATAGCCATAACACCCGCTCTAAGGAAATCATCCGAACTACAAAATCTGCTACCAACTGGGGACTTCTTAGATCCTTTAACAGTGTTTTAACTGACTGGAATGACCTGTCGCCAACAACAAAAAAATTATTTTTAAGAGACTTTAAGGATGTCCTGCGCAAAACATTAATGTAAATATTAGGTATATATAAGCTAGGTAGTTGTATTAACCGTAAATGACTAATTGTATTTTATATTTTACTACGAGTTTCAATGTTTCAACTTTAT